TTTACCATAGAGGTTCTAGAGTTAAAAACTCTATATGTTGTTGAGGTGTCTAAGTATCCAAGGAAGATGCCTTTATCCACTTTGGAGTCAAACTTCCAAATTGATCCTTTGTATTTGAGACATAATACTCGTATCCAAAGAGATGAAAGTATGATATGTTAAGTCTTCTCCCCCTCCACAATTCATAAGGAGTCTTATTTAACAAAGACCTTATTAATATCCTATTTTGAATATAGCAAGTTGTATTAATAACCTCTACTTAAAAGTGTTTTAGCGAAGAATTTTCACAAAGAAGAGTTGTAGCCATTTTTATTTTGTAAAGTTTGATTATTTCTTTCAACTTCCTCGTTTTGTTGAGGTGTTCTCAGCGAAGAGAAGTTGTGAAAGATACCACTCTTTTAACAAAAATGTTTTAAAATAAGAACATTCAAACTCAATTCCATGATCACTTCTAATAAAAGATATGCAAAAACTTTTTTCATTTTGAACTCTTTTATAGAATATCTCAAAGACTTTGTAAGACTCATGTTTGTGGGTTAGGAAGTATACCCATGTGCGCCTAGAATAGTCATCTATAATGACAAATCCATACGTTTTACACCCAGACTCAAGGTTCTAATAGAACCAACCAGATTCATATGTAATAGTTTCCAAGGTTTAGAGGTGGAAACAACCTTTTTGAATTTAAAAGATATTTTAATTAATTTGTTTCCCCTTGTAATAAACTTCACAAAGAAGATGGGTTTTCTATGAAATCTCAGGCAATCCTTTTATTAAACCCTTTTTGGTTAATTTTGAAATGTGTTTCATGTTAACATACTTAAACTTTTTGTATCAAATTTATCTTTTAAGTTCTTTGGAAACCAAACATGTTACATTCTGTTTGTCCATATTTTCTAGATTAATCTCATAAAGATTATTCTTTCTATAGGTAGTAAAAAGCACAGACCCATCACCTTGTTTGATTATGCATGCAATTTTGTCAAAAGATATAGTATACATGCTGTCACAAAATTGACTAATTTTAAGCAGATTATACTTTAATCCTTCAACATACAAAACATCTTTAACAGTATGTATAGAGTTTTTACCTATTTTACCTATACCTCTAACTTTTCCTTTGTCGCTTCTTCCAAAGGAAACAAACCCTTCATGGGGTTGAAGGTCTAAGAACATAAACTTTTCTTCTATCATGTTTCGTGAGAAACCAATGTCCAGGTACCAACTTGAATCCTTCCTTTTTCCATTAAGGATATCTGTAACAAAATTTATTTGAGACTTCGGTACCCAAATCTTCTTGATACCTTTCTTATTAGTACCCGTAACCTTAGACTTTCCTTTCTGTTTATTTTTATATTTGTTGGAGGGTGTCCTCCTTTTCCACCAACTTTACAGAAAGAAGTCTTAGTTTTAGAGTGAGATGTCTTAGATTAAGATTCAAACACGAGACCACTTTGGTTAGATGAGAGTCTTCTATGTTTCAAAAGTATGTTCTTTTTAGCAAATCCCTCTACAAATTTAGCAAGATCATTTCTAAGTTTTGTATTTTTTGCTTGAAACACTATAATCTCAAGGGGAACATTGCTAATGATCTTTTGTTTAAGAGTCTGAATCTCTCTAGTAGCGCCTAATATGTCTTTCTTGGGTTTATCATTTTCTTCTTGTAAAAATTTACATTTTTCTTTGAATTTTTTATACTCAAGAGAGATTATATGTGAGTTTCATAGGACATCTCTTCCTCATCAAAATTATTAGAAGAACAAGAGTTAGAGTTAGATTTTACCCTTATCTCTATATCGTCTAAGTCTGCATCTTCCATGAGATAGATGTTAGTTTTCTCATCATTTGAACTACTACTATTGATGTCCAAATCCTCCCATGTACCCATCAAGCTTTTCTTGACCTTTTTCTTTCTGGTCCATCACTTTCTAAGTGCAAGACATTCAATTTTCATATGTCCAAGCTTCTTGCACTCATAGCAAATGACCTCCTTACTATCATCTTGACTAGATTTCTTAAACATGCCATTCTTTTTGCTGAAGCTCCTTAGTCTTCATTTTCTCTTAAGAATATTTTTAAACTTTTTAGACATGAGAGATATCTCATCGTCCATCAAGTCTTCAGAACTTTCATCCAAATCTTGGAATCAGATTCAACCTTCAGAACTTTACCATTTTCTTTTCTTTTGTTGGATTCACCACTTCTCAAAGTGACATAATCATTTGCTTTGATATAGTCTCTATTGTTCAAGTGAACCTCATGAACTCTTACAGCTCCGAGAAGTTCATCAAGAGTGAGTCTCTTCAGGTCACGTGCCTTCGAAATATTTATGGCTTTGGGCTACCAGATCTTTGGAAAACTATCCAAGATTTTAAGATTTTTTTGAGCTTTAGAAAACTTAGTTCCCAAGGATCTCAACCCATTTAGAATTGTTTGGAGTCTTCCAAAAATTTCATCAATGGTTTTGTTCTTCTTCATTAGGAACAACATAGTGTCTCGAAAGAGTGGCAACTCGCTTTAGTCAATATTTTCAATACCCTTATGAGTTACCCTGAAGACTTCTTATATTTTTTGGTTGTTGAGTAGCTACAAAACTTATTGTATTTAGTTCTAGATAAAAAGTCAACCAAAATATATTTGGCCTTGGTGTTGAGCTGTAAGGTGTTATAATCATCTTGAGTATATTGGCTTTTACGTAGGGATGGCAATGGGACCCCATGGGGCGGGTAATAGTAAACCCGTCCCCGTCCCGTTGGATGAAAATTGGTCCCATACCCATCCCATATCCGCATGGGTATCCATGAATTTCTTGAATACCCACGGATATCCATGGATATTTATAATTTTGCTAAGAAATTAAAAAAATTATATTACAAATAATTTTAAGTTTATATTTAATGTCATTGAAATATTAAAAATAAAAATTCAGTGTTAATTTTGAACTTGTATTTAACGTTAATTTTGTTAAAATAATAATAAAAATGCAAGATAATCAATAACTTAAAATACATCAATCTTACAAGTAAGTTAAAGTCTCATCACAAAGCTACAATAATTCAATCTTATAATTCTAAATGAAAGTAAATAACTTAAAATACATAAATCTTATTGGTCTAATCAAAGCTAGAAAATTAATCAAATTATATCCAACATAATTCTATAACATGCTTAACACATGTTGGTAACTTCATCAACCTCACTTTTGTAAGAAAATAAGACGAGAGAGTGTAGTTTTAGGGTTATGTGGTACAAGGATAATTAGGATATTTAAGAAATATTATTAAACGGGTACCCGCGGGTATGGATATAATCATACCCTCCCCCGCCCTGTTTATAAACGGGTAAAAAATTATCCGTCTCCATTATTTGCGGGTATCCAATTAGCCTATCTATTTATTATCCGTAGCGAATTTTACTCGTAAATACTCGCGGATACAAATATTTTTGTCATCCCTACTTTCAGGCTTGGTTACTATAACATCTCCTTATATAATGATCTTCTAAAGATGATATTAAGTGCATTTGATGAATATTTCCATTATCCTTCTAATAAGGATAATCTTTCTCATTAAAGGCTAAAGACCTTATAATAGTACTAGTCTTCATCACTTCCCATATACGATCAAATAAGTCTAACTTCAGAAAAATTCAATTTTTTTTATGATGTAAAAATTAGCTTAATTGTAAAGAAATCTAATTTGAATGATAGAGCTCAAATACAATCAAATAAGCAAATCATATAAAAAAACATTTTTAAAGATGGTAATGATTATTCCTTTTTTTTATACCAATTTTATATTATGCTTAATTTTTTTTGACAACAGAAAATCAAATTAATTAATATGATTTGATTTATAATTTAAACAATTTTATCCGCAATTTATTTTATTTATTATTATGCATTAATTTTGTTCATTTATTATAATTTATGTATAATCGTTTAAATTTACATTGAATTAGTTAAAATATAATAATGACACAAAATTGTCATGTAAAATTCAAAAGGATTTTTATCATAGAATAAAAATTACTTGGAAAGTAGAAGAAAAATCTAACAGATTTTCACCCAAAAAAAAATTAATATTTTTAATTTCTTTTGGTAGAAAAATTTTATTTTTAATATAAAATTGTATTGATGAAAAAATAAGTTTATAATTTATAAATATACACATTATGACAAAATATAGATTATTATTTTTAATTTATTTTGACATAAAAAGTATGTTTATAATCAATTTAGACGTTGCATAATTTTTCTCCGTTTTATAACACCTTTGTGACATTTTAGCATCAGGAGAAATTAGATATTTTGATTAGCAACTTTTGAGTAAAATTATTAAAATTCCTTAATCACTTATTTAGGAGATAAAAAATAGTATAAAAAATGATAATTTAAGAATTTTAGGAAGAGATAATTATGTACACAAATTTAATTAATTTGGCTTTAAAAACATAAATACCAAAATTACACTTAATTTAAATTAAAAAAACCAAATAGATAATTAAACATTTTACTAAATATTCAATGTAATTATTATAAATATAATTATTAAGATTAACACAATACATATTTACATTTTCACAATGTTAAGGTAATATTTTAAATAATAAATAAAGTTTTCAATAACTTAATTTATATACCTACATATTTTAGGTGTCACAATTTATATAATAATAATTATAATACTAAATATATGTAATGTTGATTTCTTAACCCTCGGGAATTATTGTCGATCATTGACATACAATTTTAACTTTTTGTTATTAATATTTTTAAAATAATTATAATTGTCCCATTCAAAGTGTCTTAACAATTTCTTCCTATTTTTACAAATATATGTATCTTAGTATAATCTTGATGTATTTATTATTTCAAACTCTTTACAAATTTACTAAATATAAAAATTAATATAAATATATTTTTTTTCAGAATATATTATATGCAGAGTCAATATCTAGTTATAAACAACTTCCTCACCTTTGTCTGAATAAGTAAGCACTATAAGAAAGCCCCAACATTATAGGATCACTGCACAACATAAATGACCAAGTCACAAGTTGTTGACTTCATAGAGGCAAGGATGTTATAATGCCTACCCACATAGCCCCACTAAGGCCTCAATATGCAAGAACATCAGCTCTCTAAGAAACAATCTCTGGATTTTTGATTGTGGTTTCTCTTTTCTATTTTTCTTCCTCTCCACCCTTAAATTTACTTTAAATTATATATAATAAAAAAAAAGCTATGCTTCAGAAATTATGATGAGGGCATGTTGAAGTGAAAAAGCCACGATATGACAAATGCAAAAACTATACAAGCAAGCAGAAAATTCAGGAAGCGATGGCCGTGCCAAAATCTTCGAGTTTCTGCTGGAGGAGGTGATGTTGAGACTGTGGATGCTGCAGCAGCATTGTTGCTGTCACTCATTGTTTGTGTTGTCTCCTCAATTGCTCCACATACGTTCCGTGCCACAGAGTGACATATTTCACATGTCCTAAAGTTGAACAAACAGAAAAAATAAGAATGATACAATTTTTGATATAATTGTGCAGTTGCATTACTAGAAGAAAGAATATATGATAAATCCCATCAAGCTGTTGTTTTTGTTTTTTTATAACCATATTATTGATACTGAATACCAACTTTGTCGAAAACTAATTTATGTTAAAGAACTTGATTAACCAATTTTAATAGAATCTCTCTTCCTAACTAAGTTTTCTTTTTATACATAAGACTCAAATTCAAGACTTTGTTAAACTGGATCGAATCCAGTATCACTTGGACCAATGACTTGTTGATCATCACACTATTACTTTAATACTCATCCTATATAACAATTGTTGGCATCATATTGTGCGTGATATGCATCAATGGCAATATTATCACACCTCTTAAACAGAAATACAAAGATACAATAACAAATAAGAACTCACATAGCACTGGCAATGCATAACAGAAACTAGATAGAAAAGAAAAGGCCATATTGTTAAATGTCAACAACCACAAACTTAGAACATTGACCAAATCCCGAGAGTTTTCTGCTAATATACAGAACATGGAAATAGTTGAAAGGTGGGGAATTATTCCCTCACTGTTGTAAATAAGGAATTTAGTTCAAATTGAATGAAAGTGTATTGTCAGTTAACTTATGTGTTTCTACTAAGATGTCATAGCAGACAGGTTTTGATTCCTTATAAGCACAAGCATCACGTGGTACCTTCTACAAGTCTTGCACTTTTCTTCGGTGAGACTATGACAGAATCACATGGTAAAGGTAAACCATGCAGCTTCTTCTAAACACATTAAAAAAAAAAAAAAAAAGAGATGATTTCATGAACTTTCCATCAAAAAACTAAAAGCATCAATATTCAATACATATATGTCAAAGAAAAGATAACAGATTCAAATTCTGTTTCACTTAATTTAGCCACTAATCATGTGCTTGCAGGGACAAAGCCAAAACTTTGACTAAAGCGGGGCAAGAACAAAAACACAACCCAGTAAAGAAAACTTAAATTTTCATATGTTTAACAAATACAAGAAGTTTAATATATAACGAATTATTTTTTATTAATAACAAATACATATATTTAATTAGTTACCAAAATCATATATAAGAAAAGAAATAAATTATATAGATAAAATATTCGCAATAAGATATACCAATTTACCAGTAACATGGTTAATCAAGTGAAAGGAAGTTATACTTCCTAGTTACAAAAGAACACATTTTTTTTCTTATATATTTTAGGAGGCCACAAAATAATTTGTATAGTAATCTTAATAAACTTCACAAAAATTTGGTGTCATGGCCCACTAGGTCACCCCCTCCCACCGCCCTATGTGCTTGGATGGAATTGCATCAGGAACTAGTGATGCTAACCATAGATCTTTCCTCCACAGATGGCCCCAATCATGGAGAACAAATAATCCATCAATAAAATAGGCTACCTACCATGCATTCAGAAAAGGAAAAATAAAAATATCGGCATTATAAGGGTTAGAACAATTAAAATCAGGGATAAGCATAATGGCAAGTTGGCAATTAGTTTAGGTTTTAACTGTTCTACTATCTGCAAGTGACATGTTGAACCCTTATATGCAGTGTGATAATTACCTTAAAGTTCTCTGACGCACGTGAGCAAATTAGCAAAACAATCAAGTATACTAAAAAATTAATGTCAGCATACATCATAAACAAGCAAATTACCACCGATCCTCAAACATTCAGTTAAAATATGAGATGACACATCATCATGCTATAAGCATCCACTAAGAAAAAATAAATTCCAAATGCATGAACAAAAGGGTGAAGCCGTCAAATCTCTACTTTGATTGAGATAAAGAGAATGAAAAAGGGGTAATGAGAAAATTCCTGAATTTCAGAAAAGGGACAAAGCAACAAGGAATCCCACTTTGCTTGCACAACTCAGCTAATCAGTGGGACTGGCTAATGCTTTATGCCTTTCTCTTTAAGTCATCTTTAAATAATGTAATCTTCTATAACATTCCCTTCTCTTGAAGGAAAAATGGAGCTTGCTGCCTTAAAGTTTTGTTCCTTAACGACAGTAAACATTTAACCGAATACTTTCTCCACCATCTTCTTCAAACTTAAATTGAAAATTTAATAAAACCATCCACGGCTTCAATTGCCAACTACAGTTGAGGATCACATTCATACGAATCATACCCTTTCACTATACATATGTTAGTAATCGTAAAATTTTCTTGATACAGTGACATGGCATGACTTGACATGACTAGTCAATAAGTGTACATTCCCAATGCAGCAAATAAATAAAAAAGTGAGTGAAATTATACAAACCAAATAAAATTTCAGAGTTTAAATAAAAATTTCAGAGTTGCTCTGAAGTTATGAAAGTTAAAATAAAAAATCAAGTTCCACAAGCCAAATAAGTGCATCTTTGGATTAATTTTGAAAACTTAAGTTTGGATGATCTTCATTTTACAAACTGAGTTTGTAAAACAAATCTCCATTACAAACAGAGTTTCTAGACAAAATTGAGGCAAAAGTTTACAATCGGACCTAATTGAAATCAAAGAAGAGGTTTCTTCCATTTTAGTTTTTAAATTGACTTTCAGAGCCTATCACCTGAAAACTAAAAATAGCATAAAGAAATATAATATAAGCTTTAAAGAATAAACTGACCTATTCCCCTTAATCTTGAACCAGGCCTCAGCACAATTCTTGTGAGCAGCACCTAAATCATCCTTGCAAGAACACCCCAATTCAATGGGAACTCCAGACTCTTGACTATCACTCTCCAAGCCAAGATGACAAATCCTGCAATCCCTCTCCACTTTGGCCAAATGCACCTTAATTTCAGGAAACCCACTTTCAATTTCCACCTCCACTGAACAATCAGTGACAGAAGAACCCCTCCTGGAATCAGCATCACCCCCACCCTCAGCATCAGAAACACAAGCAAAACTGTAATCATCATAAGGGTCACCATTTGTTGAATAAAAATGGGAATAGCAGGAACCATTCTCGGCATCAGAAAAGCACATGCTCATCTCACTGCCACTCACAGAACGGTGGTGGTGACCACCTTGCTCGAAATCCACATGAGACATCTGCAGACTTGACATTTTGAATAAAAAAACCAAATTTTGTAGCTTTTAACCAAACCAAGCACCCCCAGTACACAAGAGTGGATATGCAAAAAAGGAAAAAAGTTAGAGGGTATAAAAAAAAAAAAAACAACAGAGAAATGGATTAGGTGACGTTGGCTTGCAGCAACCCCATTAATGCATGATTCTAGAAGTTTCAAGTTTTGGAACAGGTTGAGGAAAGTTCCATGCTTTGAAGGCTCCAATGCTGGTTAGAGAGAGAAGAGTGTGAGGAAGGAAGCAAAGATTGGTGTGCAAGAGAGGGACTCTTGGTGTGGCTTAAGACAGGGACAGTGACAGTGCAGACAAGAACAGAAAACGTGCAGTGAGAGTACAGAGAAGCATAGCAGGTTGTGCATAGATACAAGAGGTGGGGGCATTCAAAACAAAAAGATGAGATATATATATACTATATATTTTTAACCATTTATGGATTATCTACCATTAAATGTAGCCACTAATTAAATATCATGAATGTAAATAGTGTAATCATTCTTTTATCAACATATTTTCTTTTAAGAATGTTTAAATATCAGTATAGAAATAATTTTAAAAAATCTTCTATATAAAAATTCTCAAAAACATTTATATTTTTATATTCGAACAATTATCTATATCAAAAGTTAAAATAAATTAAGAAATAAAAGTTGCCACTACTTCTGCTTGCAGGGTGAAAGATGAGAAAGATTAGCATTAATAAAGTGATAGCTAGTTGTTTTGGTATCTTTCACAGTAGTGACATAATCTTGATGATTACTACAAACCACATAAATACTACGATTATTTATTGGGATGCTATAGAATCAGCCAGCAAAGACGAAGACTAATTCATCTGACGCCAATGCTTTCAGTTTCTATATATGATGATGGGATTGAGCCTGTGGGTCATATCATAAACATTGCCAAGATCAAATTCACGTAACGTTATCCAGAGTAATTAAGAAGTGACAATTATTAAATTAAAAACTCCACAAATAAATTTGTGATATATGAAATAATGGTACGTTTGAATTTCAGAAAAGAAAATAAAGAGAGAAAATATATGGATTGGGATATATTGTTTTTTGTTTAATCGGAGAGAAATTTAATGGAAAAAAATGAGGAAAATTAGAGTTCTAAAAAATCATTTTTCTTTCCTTTCTATCCAACCAAATATAGACCAAGAGAGTTACTTGTGTTTGTTTGCATAGAAATGTGTTAGGAAAAAAAATAGAAAGAAAGAAAATAAGATAGAATCTCAAATTTACATTATTTGTTTGTTGGAAGAGGAAAACAAGGAGTGAAGTTTTTTTTTGTTTGTTTTTTTTTTTTTACAGGACAAAGAGTGAAATTCTTATGTAAGACTAGCTAGAAAAACTTAACCTTCGCTTTTCTAAATTAGCATGAATTAAGGAATTTTTTATTTTAAATTTTTTAAAACTAAATAATTTTATAACATGAAGCATTTATTATTCTGATTTCTTATTTCTTATGTTTACATCCTAGAATTGACCGTGAAAGAGTAACAGATCATAGCAATACCAGCTCAGATAGCGTTAAACTAATTATTATTTAATTTGAATAATCTAAAATTTATTACACCACATTTTGTTTTTGTTAGTTTCTTAAGTAGGCTTTAATTCTCTACCTCATATGTGAATAATTAGATATTTCTAATTTTTCTTACATATATTTAATCTAAAACATTTTGAGATCACTATAAATATTCATTCTATTTTCTCTAAATTCATGAGTATTCGCTAATTCAATTGGTTTTTGTGTGTATTTCTTTTTATGATTTTTTTCACAGAGCAAATTTGAGATTTTAATTAGTATAAAAATATTTTTAATACAATTTATTTATTCATTGTAATTTGTTTTCCATTCATCTGAACACGTGGAAGAAATTTTTTTCATACATCTCCTTATTTCTTATCCATCCAAATAATACTTTTTCACTGTATTTAACTTTAATCTCTAATTTTATTTCTTTTTCTTTGTATTTGGCGTGTAATTCAAACATGGCATTATTGTGTATTCTTAGCTTTTTTATATAGTAATTATCAAATTTATGGGAATCTTTATTCATGGTTTTATTATATATTTGATATTTTTTTGAACTGATATATTTACTAATACACTCGTTGGTCGTGACTTTTACATTTTTCTCTTAGTAAAACATCGTTAACATATATCACTTATTTCGAGTACATAAAAAGTGACAGATCATAGTGATGCCAACTCAGATAACGTTAAACCCATTATTATTTAGTCTGAATAATCCAGAATTCACTGCATCACTCTAGGCATTTTTATTTTATATCAGATTAAATTATAGTTTTAGTTTTTTTTAATATTTAATTTAATTTAATTATTTGTAAGTTATTTAATTTAATTCTCTAATTTAAAAAATATATATTTAATATTATTTTTTGGTCCAAATTAACATTAAAAATGTTAATGAAATTGAATAAAATTGGACAATATTAAATTATTTAAAAATAATAAGATCAAATTGAACATTTTAAAAATAGGAAAATTAAATTAAATAAAAAAAATTTCTAACATTTCAAACACTTATTTAATATTTCACATAAGTATAAATTATTTTGTTAATTATTATTCAATTTATTCTTCCTATTTTTAAAATATTTGATTTAATTATTAAATTATTTAAAAATAAATAAAAATATAAAAAATATAATTTAATAAAATATGACATATACAT